TCTATTGACTTCAGTGGATCTGTGTCAATATCAGTTGAGGATCTGGGTCATCCTTTTGGCAAAGTCTTCCCCTAGAATCAATGCATTTAAACAATCCTACATGTTTCTCTGAGCCAGAGGAATGGAGGGTGGGGGTGGAGAAAAACCTTTAGTTTTGGACTTCTCTGCTCAAATTAGACCTTAGCGCTCTAATTTTGTGCCGCACTTAGCTACCATGATCAGCTGGCCACAATGTGAATGTATATAGACAAGGGAAGTTACAAAGCCCCACCCCTGTTTTTGATCTGGAGTCACAACTGGTTAATCCAGATCTCCTTCATATGCAGCCGTGTTTGGGTATCGTTGCAGCTGCCTATCAAGATCTCTCCGGCTTTCAACATCATCAATTCTCGTCTTCCTCCCTTCCACTGAAACTGACTGGACGCTTTGTAATCAACGATGATTGCATAATATTGATCTAATGATCTTTCACGGATCTAATACAAAAAGTAAATCCATTTATGCATGTCTGAATATCAGTGACATAGCAGAATTTTCAGAAGCCTTCACAATCCATTGCTAAGTTTAAGCACTCAGCTGCTGCCCTTCCACCGATCTGCCACATACCATTCACCCAGCTCCTTGTTGGTCATCCCCTATAACCATGACCCTCCACCATTCCTTCCATAATAACTTTCTGAAGGTTATGTCCATCTCTACGCCTAATGTGACCAAAATACATAAGTTTGCATCTATTGATTTCTGACATCAGAGTCTGCTTCTCTCCAGTAATAATTCTAACATAGGCATTTATCTTTTTTTCTGTCCAGGACATATGCAAGAGTCTGCATCAGTACCACATTTCCAAAATGTTGATTTTCTTGTCAGCAGTATTAACGTCCCATGATTCACATCCATAAATAGTTATGGAGAAAAGTTAGACTTTTTACTCATTGCACCTTTGTACATTTTGAGATGCTATGGTTTTTCCACACTTTAATGGAGTTGTCACGGGGCGACGACTCACCGGCATGGCACCTCCTGCTGGTTGACTTGGGAATTAGCTCGTCCAGCCCGGAGCACCCTCTGCACGCCAGTGTCTCGCCTGCCGCTGGCCCCCATGTCCCTCCCGGACCCCGGTGCCCCTCTACATCAGGGTTCTGCCCCGCAGCAGTAACCCACAATCTGTGTCTCCCCACCCAGGGGAACTCTCTATCCCCACCTTGCCTCAGTGGCTACTGCCAGTCATCTAGCCCCCGCTCCCTGGGGCAGACTGCAGTGTGTAAACCACTCCACATCAGCAAGGGGTTAGGACCAGCTGCCTTTGTCTATCTCTGGGCTGCTCCTCTGCAGCCCCAGTACCTTTTTAGGCCCTTTTAGCAAGGCCTGCAGCCTGGGGTTTTACCAGGCTGGAGCTCCCCAGCTCCCTCTGCCCTTCCCCAGCACTGCTCTACCTCAGGTACCCTTCTCAGCTCCCAGGCAGCCAGGTCCTTCTCTCTCAGAAGCTAGAGAGAGAGGCTCTTGAGTGCCTGGCCCACAGCCCTTTTATAGGGCCAACTGTGGCCTGATTGGGGAAACTGCCACAGCTGGGGCCATGCCCCAATCAGCCTAGGCTTTTCACAGCCACAGCCCTCTCCAGGGCTGCTTTTAACCCTGTTCTTCAGAAGTGGGGCAGCCACCCCACTACAGGAGTACATAGCTGAGCAAGACATCACTAGTCCTCTTCCAGTTTTGTTGGATCAGGCCTGTTGGGTCAATATAACATTAATTAAATTAATTAATAATCAAATAATTAAATTAATACAACTTGTTCATTAATTGTGATGTCAGCTTGCATTTTTTGTCACATCCAGGAATAGTCCATATTCCTCGCTAACCGTTTTTACCAACATTTGTTGTTTTGCATCAGTGGTCGTAGCAAAGAGTGTCATGTCATTAGCATATCCTGAGGTTGGTTAAGAGATGTCCACCAATGGAAATCCCAGCTTCTTCCACTTTGTCAAAACATTCCAAAGCTTGTCTCTTCATACATTCTATGTTTTATGTTAGAGGCTTGGGGACAAAATACACCTTTGTCTTACACCCTGCCAAGTGGAAAACCACTCAGTTACCTATTGCTGTTCATACCATGGGCTGTTGGTGCTAGAGACTTGCGATGAGTTTAATAAGACACCTTAGAATCCCCATGTCTGCCAGTATCCTCCAAAGAGGATCACATTGATGGTATCAAAAGCTTTTGAGTAGTCAATGAAGCACATGACCAATGGGTGATGGTACTCTGCAATTTTTACTAATGTGACCAAATTGTGAATATCAGTCACATATGCCTTGGCCCTCTCTGAAACCAGCTTGTTGTGGTGATAGTTCTGCTTCTATTCTTCATTTCATGTGATGCTGGATTATGTAGAACAGAATTTTGCTCAGAATTTCAGAGCGATGGTACAATAGTTACTTCACTCTATTATGACTCCCTTCTTTAGTGAGGGCTGAAGAATTCCCTTTGTCCAGTCTGCCAAACAATTTTTAGTCATCCATACATCGTCACAAATTTTCCACATACAATCAATGCCATGTTCACCAATAGCTCTTAAAAATTCTGCAGGCATGTTGTCTACCTTCATTTTCCTAGTAGCATGCACCACTTCCTCTCACAGAATTCATGGCTCCGTCCCCATACTCTCTTTTCTGCCACCCTGTGTTATGAGTGGTCCTCGTGAGGCATACAAATAGGCACAGTAAACTCTGTGTGCATTTCATATCTTCAGTGAGGACCCTGCCATCATGATCTTTTATTATGTTTGATCCACAGGGAAAACTTTTTCATATGAAGCCTGACCACTGTGAACACACCTTCTGGGTTATTCCTCTTTATAATCCTCAAGTGCCATTCTTTTTGCCCCTATACATTCGCCCTTGTCTCGTCTATTCTGCCTTTCTCTATCTACTCAGTTCCTTATATTGTCTGCATCTTTCATCTCCAAGCCACTCTCTACCTCCAAATTGTATTTCTGCCAGCTCAAGCATTTTTTTCAGTTAACCATGCTGCGGTCTGACAGGTTGACTTTTTGGAATGTGTGTGTTGGCAGTTTCAAGCATAATAGCTTTCATTTTACTCCAGAGGTCATTTGGCTTGTTCTCCTTTTTCACCTATGCCAATGCCTCAAACCCATTCTGGACAGAAGTTACATAATTTTTGTTTTATGGACCAGTTCAAATGCAGTGGACCTGTGTGTCGACCATCCTACCTCTTAAGTTTTAATTTTATGTTTGAGGCTAACAGCTGCAGGGCTGACTTCCAAGTGCAGACTGTGGAAGTCTTTTGTTAATTAAACATGATCTCCAGCATTGCTGTATCATTACATATGCAATTTGGTTCTGTTATACTATCAGGTGACCTCCATGTATATAAATATTTATTTAGAATTTGAGTGAAGATGGTGTTTGAATTTTGCTGCTTTAATAACCTGGCCAGCTAAGTGCCTTCCTCTCTCATTTTGTGACCTTTGATCATTGTTTCCCATTACTTCTTTAGTGAGAAAGTTGGCGCTGTGAGCTCTTATAAAGTCCCCAATTACAAGGTTGATATCTTTACTTGGGTGTTTTAGTGAGTGTCTCTTCGAGTCATTCATAGATCTCAATCACATCACTTTCGAGCAAAGCTAGTAATATATCAATCATACAAACTTATCCCCCTACAACAGCAGCATCAACATGTATGATCAACATATTGACTAGCTTTGCTCAAAGCTGAATTATCATGATTCTATTGCTGATTGGATTATATCCAAGAACACACTTGGATGTCTGCTTGGATGAGATAAATGCAACCTCATTCTCTCTCCTTTTTTCAGTAAATGGTATCCCTCCATTGTGATGAAATGACCCCTATTCTTCTTGTAACCAAAGAATTTGAAAGAGGTAAGGTAAAAAATATGTGGATCTAATGAAAGGACATATTAGCACATATGCCAAGGAACAGTCCCCAAGAATATACTTGATCAAAAGGAAATGCATAGGAATAGGGTGACCAGATCGCAACAGTAAAATATCAGGACACATTGGGGCGCTGTCGGCCCCGCCCACACTCTCCACCCCAGGACCCGCACCTCCCCGCTTGCCGCCGCATCCCTCCTCACCCTCCTGCCCACCGCTGGCTTGAGGAGTCCCTCCTTACTTCCGCACTTGCCACTAACCTCCTCACATCCCCGCTGGCCCACTGCTTGCCTCCTCACTCCCGTGACAGACCCCTCCCTGCAGCAAGATAATACAAGTGACTAATGATGATAATCCCTTGAATGGGCTTTGGGTCAGACCCATAGAGTCCTGGCTTTCCCCAATACACCCTTCCCTCCCGCTTAGCCATGTCCCCCCTTGGTGTCCTTGAGCTCCGCATGGATTTGAGTAGGATATATTGTTTTCAGATCACAGTATATCCTGGGATCTTAATCATGCTAGAACGGGGTGGGCAAACTTTTTGGCCTGAGGGCCACATCTGGGTATGGAAATTGTATGGCGGGCTATGAATGCTCACAAAATTAACAATTCAGAGAGATTCAAATAAACTTTAATAAATTTTAGTGGAAATAAACATAAAACCTTACTTTCTATTATAAATATACCATCATAACAATGTATTACAATAATTAAACCAAACTTACCCCTTTCCACGCCCTCTTTGATTAGTGTAAACAATGCAGCTGGTCACCCTTCTTTACAATGGCATCAAAGTTTGGTGTCCTTCTCGTTGTGGAAATCTGCAATACTGAGCTGAGATGCTGGTCAGTTAACTGACATCTGTAGCAAGATTTGTTGTAATTCAGCATGGAAAATGTTTGTTTACATAGGTGCAGCTGAACAAAACAAGGATTTTCTGTGCCATTTTGCGGATATTTGGGAACTTTGTTTTACTCAAGGAGCCATAAAACTCATCCAGTTTTTCTGAATTGTACTTTTCCTTTAAGGTGGAATTGCACTTTAGATCAATGAGCTCCAGTTGTAATTCTTGCTGGGCTTACTTGTAGTCAAATCCATGGTGGGTATGACACCAGCTCCAGTGTCCTCTCTATCTTCTCAAAGTCAGAGAATTGACGAGAAAATTCTTCATGCAAGTCACTCAACGTTTTGCTGTACTTTTCTGTCTGCTTTGGCGACACCTCCAAGTATTTCAGTGTTGGAAAGGGAGCGAACACTTTGTCCTTAATTTGTTTTGAAAACAAGACTAACTTGACTTTGAAAGCTGTCACATTAGAATACAATTCGTGTACAAACACATTCTTTCCTTGCAACTTCACATTAAGTTCATTTAAATGTGCCAAGATATCCACAACAAAAGTGAGGTCACACACCCAGTTTGAATTCTTTAATTCAAGGAAATCATTTTCTTTCTCCTGCATCTCCAGAAAAGTGCAAATTTCATCTCTGAGCTCCCACACTATCTTTCCTAGGCTGAGCCAGCAGACATTTGTAAGGTAAAGTAAGTCTTGGTGTTTGGTGTCAGTGTCTTCAAGAAAGGAAATGACTTGCCGATGATTAAGTCCTCTCGCTCTTATGTAGTTCACTATTTTCACTACTATGTGAACAACATGATCAATGTCCAGGACATTTTTGCAGAGGGGCTCCTGATGTATAATACGATGCAGAAAAATCATCTCTTTATCAGGGTCGTCTTCCTTTACTTTGTCCTGAATTCTTTTTAAAAATCCTACATTTTCCCCAGTTAAATTTGGTGATCCATCTGTGATTACATTTGCCAGTTTACTCCAGGGGAGTTTCAGATGTTCAAAGCAGCCAGACACCCTCTCGTATAAATCCGATCTCTTAGTTGTGCCTTTCATTGATTCCATTGATTAAAAATTCCTCTGTGATTTCAAATTTGTCGTCAATTCCTCTGACAAAAATCTATAACTGTGCTGTGTCCTTAATGTCAGTGCTGTCATCGAGAGCTAACAAAAACAATGTAAAGCCCTGTGCTTTCTTGTTCAACTCAGAAGCCAAATGTTCATCAATCACTTCTACACAGTGAGTAACAGTTCTTGGTGACAAACTAATGTTCTCAGATTTGTTTTGGTATTCCAGGCACAGCATACCAGCAACATCAGCCATGTATTTTTTCAAAAACTCCCCTTCAGCAAAAGGCTTATTTTGTTTAGCGATTTTAAACGCCAGAACGTAACTTGCCTTTGTAGTGGCTTCCTGAACTGTTGCTTGTTGCACATAACTATTTTGCTGAGCTTTTAAGTTCGTGGCGAGTTTCTCAGCTTTTCTTGCCCTTTCCTCAGTTGTTAAATTGCTGCCATGATTAGGATGTTTCGTTGAAAAATGGTGATTCGAATTGTACTCCTTGAACACTGCGATGCTCTCCTGACAAATCAGACATACAGCCTTCAAGTTCATGTTTGTGAAAAAATATTTTGCATTCCCTTTTTTTGAAAACCTGACACTCACTGTCTGCTCATTTTTGAAAGAGAAAAGAAAATCCTAACTGCTGCCCTTATTTCAAACTACTGTTTTACAAGATGGCAGCGCTGTGGAAAAAACTGGGCCCTCTCCCTAGCCTGGATTTCTTGGGCGTCGGCTTCCAGTCATTGAAACTCATTGAGATTCACCACCCCGCTGCTTTCAGAAATCTCCTCCCACGTAGGTCCCAACAGCTCACAACTTTGAAAACGGCCACTAAGCACTCTCTGGCCAACTACTCTTTGTTTCATCCTCAACAATGGAAAATTAACACCAGAGTCACCTAAGCCAACAAGTGGCAGGCATGTGGGCTTGCATGGTCCGGGCTTTGATGGCGTGTGAGGCGTGTGTGGGTTGTGCAGCCGGAGTAACATGCGTGCCCTCATTCCTGTCACACAGGTCCTGAACATGTGGGAGCACCGGGCGGGAGGAGCAGGGCAAGCTTCTGACCCCACTCCCCGGCGGGAGTGGGGCAAGCCCCCGACCCTGCTGCCCGGCCAGAGTGCCGGGCGGAGCGGGGAAAGCCTCTGACCCCACTCCCAGGCCAGAGCGCCAGACAGGGCAATGGAACTCGAGGGCTGGATTAAAAGGTCTGACTGGCTGGACGTGGCCCGTGGGCTGTAGTTTGCCCACCCTTGTGCTAGCAGGTTACGACCTGCAATCCCAAGGGAAGATTGTGTATCAGGATTTGGCCCTAAATATCCTGAGTCAATCACACAAGCAAAACCCACAGAGCAAATCCCTACTGCTGACAATCACACCCCAGCCTGTGCCCTGAGGTCAGGGCAGTGCTTTAGAAATATTTACCTTCACTGGGGAGGACTTTCTAGGAGTCTGTAATGACCCCACTACTTGTAACTTCTGAGCTCACCCCTTCAGTGTGATAATGTCTTTCATCACAAATCCTGCGCTTCGCCTAGGCTGGGGAATCAACTAGAGGCTGAGGAAACATCCACCTCTGAAACTTCAGATTCAACCTTCATTTACACCACTGCAAATCTGGAGTGACTCCACTGAGGTCAGGGCAGTAACCGGAGCACACTTGGAGCCCTCCCTCTGGAATGGAGCATTCAGAAGGAGACAGCAGGAGTTTGCTTGTCAGTGGGGATCCCGGAGTCTCCTGTTGCAGTAAAATGGTTCTGGGGAGGGGGCTGATTTCTGAAAACTCTGGCTCCCTTTAGAGCAGCCGCACGTGCCCAGCGAGGCAGCGTTTGAATGCCCACTGGCAGTATTGAGGCCATGCGATTTGTGCACCTTTGGGAATGGCTGGGATTGGGGAGCTGGGGCTAACAGCGAGGCTGCCGTGTGCAGGGCACTCACACTGCACTGAGTCAGGTGCATGCCCCCCAGGTGCAGCCCCTGCTCTCCAGTGTGGGTAAGTGACCTGGGCAGTAGCTGACAGCGCTCAGCCCCGACCTGCCCTGGACTGAATCAGCACGTGCAGAGCTCCAGCAGCAGCCTCTGCAGCCCTGTCCCGGGTGTGGCTGGACACCACCTTTCCCTGTCTCCGCTGTGAGCTAGGTGGGTCGGTCTGCACATGTCAGAGGACTTATTCCTTCACTCTCCCACTTCCCTGGTCCTTTTCGCATGAACAGAGAGCAACAATACCCAAAGTCTGAAGGTGCAAACAAGTTGATGTTTATTGGGGTGAGCTTCCAGCAAGCTTAAATCCAAGTTCCTTTTTCCTTATTTTCGAATCCCGACTTACTTCCTGTTTTTGCCCCTAATTTATATCGTAAGAGTCTCAGCTATATCTTAACCAATCATTTTACTGAAATTTACCTAACCAATCCTAACATATTGTAACGTGATTAGCTAACCAATTATATCCCACCACCTTAATTAGTTTACACCCAGCAAAATTAATTATACAGCAGACAGAAACAATCACAGAACCAGCCAGAGACCATGCACATAAACAATAGCAAAGCGGGAACTATAATGACAAAACAATACAGCAGTGAGGATTTCACAACTACATCTCTAAAGCCATAAGTGTTTCCCAACTATGTCTATTGATAAGTGAGTTCTTACCAAACAGAAAACTATCAAACTACATTTCTTTTTACATCTTCTAGGCTCTTCCCTTTCTCTGGAAGTGATAGATCGGATCACCTTCCTAACAGCCCCAGATGGCCTTATTTCAGTGTGACTAGTTTGGAATGGGAGGATGTGACCATTCGCTTCCCAGTTTATGGCTGTCTCTGCTGCTTAGCCAAAGGCCTTAGCTTAAGACCAGGGCCTCAGACTGTCACAGTGAGAGAAGGCCCATACACGGGCAGACAGTGATTTTGATTCTTTCTTTTATACCTCTATCACTAGCTAAATGATAAACATATACCTAAATTCTTAAAGCATAGGCCTTTACAGACAGGCCTGAATATCTATATCCTAACAATGCTCTGCTATGGGGGGATGCAGCTATTACCTCTGGGGGGCACCTGCCCCTCCACCCACCCCCATGCAAAAACAGGTGGGGAAAGAAAAGCTTGGAAACGGCAATGCTTCACTTCTGGCAGCCTCCCCCATCGAACATGGAGCCGTGTCTCATTTCAGAGCCAGCGGTTCTAGCCCTTCCACTGCATCCACAGAGCCGGCCCCAGGGGATTGCCTGCCTAGCTCTGGGTGCCAGCTGCCCTGCCCAGCCCTTCTTAGGGGCACCCCGAGTGCAGAGGGGTCCAGCTCCAGGGTGCTCCAGGGTCCTGAGAGCCATTGGAATGTGCCAGTCCTGGGGCTGGGCCGGGGGTCAGCAGCCCCCGGGGCTCAATTGGCTGGGGTGGGTTTTCCTGTCTGTTGTCGCTGCAGAGTGAGTCTCCCGGGTGGCAGAGCTTTCTGGAGGTGCTGCCCACATCCCTTAAAATAAATGAGCGACTTCAGTTCACTTGGGATTGGATCCCAAAGCTCGTTCGCCAAGAGCGGGTTTGGATCTGGCGCAGCGTTAAGCCTGGTCACAAAGAGCTGGCTGTGATAGCTGAACTGAAGCGCGACTTTTGTTCCCACCTCAAGGAAAGGTCAGCCCTTTCCCGTCCCTCCCGCTCTGCTCAGTGATTGCTAGGAGTCAAGACTCTGGGGGGGTGTTCTGGCTTGTGGGGGGGGAGACCCCCCCCATCAGCCACCTCACCCCCATGCCTGCCCGCTGCTTGCCTCCTCAGTCCTTCACCAGAGCTCCCCTGCCTGCCTCCTCACCCGCCTGCCCGCCTGCCACTCGCCTCCTCACTCCCCCGCCAGACCCCACCCCCACTGCGAGACTCCCCCACCCGCCACTGGCTCGCCGCTCACCACCTCACCCCCACACACGCTGCTGGCTGATTTTCTTTTTTGGTGGTTCGGGTTCTGTAGTTTCCGCATCGGAGTGTTGCTCTTTTAAGATATCTGAAAGCATACTCCACACCTCGTCACTTTCAGATTTTGGAAGGCACTTCAGATTCTTAAACCTTGGATCAAGCACTATATCTATCTTTAGAAATCTCACATTAGTACCTTCTTTGCATTTTGTCAAATCTGCTGTGAAAGTGTTCTTAAAACAAACATATGCTGGGTCATCATCTGCGACTGCTATAACATGAAATATGGCAGAATGTGGGTAAAACAGAACAGGAGACATACAATTCTCCCCCAAGGAGTTCAGTCACAAATTTAATTAACTAATTTTTTTTAACGAGCATCATCAACATAGGAGCATGTCCTCTGGAATGGTGGCCGAAGCATGAAGGGGCATACAAATGTTTAGCATATGTGGCACGAAAATACCTTGCAATGCTGGCTACAAAAGTGCCATGTGAACACCTGTTCTCACTTTCAGGTGACGTTGTAAATAAGAATCAGTCAGCAGTATCTCCCGTAAATGTAAACAACTTGTTTGTCTTAGCAATTGGCTGAACAAGAAGTAGGACTGAGCAAACTTGTAGGCTCTGAAGTTTTACATTATTTTGTTTTTAAGTGCAGTTATGTAACAAAAAAAACCCTCTACATTTGTAAGTTACACTTTTACGATAAAGAGATTGCACTACAGTACTTGTATGAGGTGAATTGAAAAATACTATTTCTTTTGTTTGTCATTTTTACAGTGCAAATATTTGTAATAAAAATAATATAAAGTGAGCACTGTATGCTTTATTCTGTGTTGTAATAGAAATCAATATATTTGAAAATGTGGAAAAGCATCCAAAATATTTAATAAATTTCAATTGGTATTCTATTGTTTAACAGTGTGATTAATCGTGATTAATTTTTTTAATTGCAGTTAATTTTTTTGAGTTAACTGCGATTAATCGACAGCCTTAAATAAAACATTTCAATTTTATCAAAACAAAACATTTTAATCAATTCAACTTTTTCTGAACTTTCATTTCACAGCAAATATTGAAATATCTTGTTT